AAAATATAAGGTTAAAGAAACACGGATTTATAAAGGACAAGAGGCTGTTCTTCTTGAGTACGCAACATATTAGATTAGTAGCACCAGCAACACCGATTATGTATAACGTATTTGAAGCACTATCATTATTCATGGGGAAGCGTTAAACCCATATGAGTCATGAAGCGCTTGGGGGAATGGGAAGCATTCAAGTTCAATCCAAGGAAGGGGATCACAAGTCTACGTAATTCCTTAGATCAAGAGCCTCTCACCTGCATAATACTTGGAGTAAAAAAAAAAAAACACTGCTAACTAGTAAGCAATTCGCTTTCGCCTTCAAATTTGTGTATATTAAATCTAATAAGACATTTACAATAGTCACGTTAATTGTTCAGGAAAGAAATGGCTGGGCTGATGGTATTTACTAAGACCTGAGAAAGTTATGGTAGAGTTTCCCATGAGACTAATCTGGAAACCGCAAAATAAAGGTAGAATACAAGGTAAACTATTACGACGGGTGAGAGCTCAAATGGAATGAATTCCGAGACAGTAAGTGCAACTGGAAAAAAAAAGATGAAAGATTACTGAAGACGGGACACCACGAGCATAGCTCTGCTTCTGTAGCTAGAAATAGGTAATTAACACGCACGCACGATAAGCACGGCACTATTATGTTTGATCATTCCCTGGATGGATGACAGCGTGAATACAGACTCGCCTTTGGCTACTAGGATACCCCTATAGTCTACCGACTTCCTGTGCCCGATATAAGCGCCTCATACCATAGTTGAGAAACGCGTACACAAATATACGCTTTACATGCCGTGTAGTTGTTGTAATGCGTACCGTAGTGAGGTGGCAGTGAGCATCACCACCAGCCCGCCAGCCTGACCCACATCTCGCCACGAGAAATCATACCTGCGAATTATCTGACAATTATAAATAGATTTAACCACCATCTGACAATTATAAATATATTTTACCACCGTCATTGTACTTCATAAACACTGCCTCCATCTTTCCGTATCTTCTAGCACCTCGTTATTCTGTTTTCATCACTCTTCCACACCTCACTTCCAATCTCAAGTAAAATAGAAAGAAGTTTATTTTTATCGCTCTACTGCCGAGTCCTACAGCACTCACTTGGACCAGTGTCATGGTCACTCACTGTTTTACGTATGTGAAATAAGACATGCGCGTTATTAGGATATTAGGGAAACTTTTCGCCACGAATGACTTCAGTCCTACAGAGATAACCACAAGCGAAGTTTATATAGTGGTCCAGATATTTTATGTCATATCTTGCCAAGTTTTACTCGTCTGCTTTACTGATTCCTGGCTTTTAAGACCCTATCGTACCTACTCTTAAAACTATAACTACTGCTTACTTCCATTCTCCTTGATCACTACCCTAGCTATTTAGTTCTAGCGTTTCTAAACGCGTTGTATCGATGCCTGGTCCGTGCTGGTGAAGCAGACTCAAGCTATAAGGTACCCGAAAGCAGTTCTTAGAGTAGTTAACTTTGTATATGCCTCCGAAGTTACACAATTCATGTGCGTTTCTGGTGATTTGCTCAGTGTGACCCCCACAGATCTGTGCTATGCCTACAGCACGTCTTCTAGGCGGCTGTTATTCGGTTTCCAGTCATCTCTCGATCTCTCCCTTCTCATTATTTTGTGCTTAATCGGACCGAATTCTAGTAGCCACTTGTATGAACACGTTTGCAGCCTATTTAAGTCGTTTTGGTGCCTCTCCCGTTATGTAGGTTAGGAACAGAAAAATTTCAAGCTGATTATTTAAGGGCTTCCACTCGTCATCCTTCACCCTTTTTCCCCTCACTGGTAACTTCTCTTTCACTAACATCCTCTACCAGGTATTCCTTTATCCCCTTGAGCACTTTTCCTGTTACTCCTGCCTGCTCTTCCAGGATGTAGGTGAGCCTATAGCGTCATACTATGATATGCTTTCCTCCATTCTGCTCTATGAAAAAAGTAGGCTGGTAGATTCATCAATACGTAAGATAACGGGCAAATATTATAAACTTCTACATATTATATTCGGACCCTTTTTGTTTTCCTTTCAGGCGCTGAATAGCACTTACGGATTTAGACCTTCCCCAAGAATATAAATAAAAATAATAATAATAATAATAATAATAATAATAATAATAATAAAAATAATAATAATAATAATAATAGCACTTTTGCACAAAGCCACCTAGGGGAACTTCATGTCTATTACCTAAAAAACCGCGAGTAACGCCACGATAATTCTGCCTTTCGAGACTTATTGTAACCTATTTGGCGTAAGCAGTTTCCTGGGGTGAGAAAACAACACAATATAATGTGAAGTCAACTTTTGTTCGTTTTCCCTTGCGACACAGTGGACAAAAGCTCTCGTCAACTTGTCTCTAAAAAAATGGAAATTCGAGAGTAAAATGAAAGTTGCTTTGCATGGGGTGCATTGTTTGTGACCCGGAAAAAGCAAGTCTCTCGCAGATTTTTTTTTTTTTCGGTTGGCAAGCACCAAAAATGAATTGCTTTTTTTCCAGCCGTGCTGCCAATAGTGCAATAATTATGCTTGTTACTCAAGCGATGACTTGTCTTGCTACACCATCGCCTTCACTCACCCTCAACTGCCGCAGCCATTCAACATATTATCTGGTCAACATCTGACTCTCAGGTGTTCGCGGGTTTAAACATGCCTAACATAGTCTCCTGGTCCACAAGGACACCAATTTTTTTTGCTAGAATTATGTTAAAATGAGCCGTGCTATTGGTGTATATTTCTGCTTCATCTTTCTTACAATTATAATACCGCTACATTTGTAAAGATTTTTTGGTATATCCGAAGAGGAATGTTTTAAGTGTTAGCTGATTTTTTTTCTTCCATTTTCCCCTTCCA